TGGTTTTGCTTTTATTTGATGAAAACAATCTCTAATGCCTGTTCTCCTTGCTATGCAATGGTGAGCTGGCATGCAGATAACTGTCTCTAGAGTATTCCTTGACAGTTTTTGGTTTTTTGCTATGTCCATAAAAATTAGCCTATCTGAGACCTATCATTGGAGCCAATAGAATCCTGCCCTTGACCGGCTCTTCCTGCACACCTGGACCATTAAGTGCTATTGGCTCAGTTCTTCCGTTGAATCTCATGAGCAGAAAGTGAGCAAAGATCTTTGCCTTTTCCATACTAAGTGGGGTGATTGGAAAACTCTTCTCTCTCTCTCTCTCTGTCTCTCGCTCTCATTGTGCATCATTATTTTCTCCTATCAGCGGCCATCAGTGTGTGATTGTGGTTTAATTTTATGAAGTAAATTCCTGGGGCTAATCTCTGATGAGTGGTAGTTGACAGGGATCTCTAGTCCCTGGTAGGTCATAGATGACAACTAATCTAGCCTGTGAGACTTTTTGATTGCCTGTTGTCCTGAGGATTCTGGTCGGTATTTTCTGGTATTTACTTGGGGAATGCTATTGTTTGCTGGGTTCACATATATATTTCTGTATATTGTGGGTATGTGGGTGGTGCTGTGGATATTCTTACAGGTTCTCTTGACTCGCTGCAAAAATTTAACAGAGTAATTTGTTGTTTTCAGTGTTCTGACATTTCAAAATCTTACGCCTTGGTGTTGTGCACTGCACGGCTTCTCAGACCTTCTCAAACTTCATTCCTTGTCACACGTTGTTGTTGTTGTTTGCATGGTGCTTGCTTTTTATCACAGCAACCACCCAAATCCAGCTTTGCAAAGAAATGATATCATTGAAAAGAATTTAGCATAATCTAATGTTCATGAATTTTACTGTATGTAAATTACATCTCTATAAACCTGACTTAAAAATTTTTTAAAAAGACTGACAATCCCAAATGCTGACAGGATGAGGAGCACTGGAATATCTTAATTCTGGAAAGAGTACAAATAAATTCCAAAACTGTTGGGGAAAAAAAAATTGGCAGTGACAACTAAGGGTCATGCATTCGTGGTTATATACTGTGGCCCAGAAATTCGACTTTCAGCTACATACCTTAGTCCTGTGCTGTGCAATATGAAAGTTCAAGCCACATGCAGCTACTGAACACCTGAAACGTTGTTAGTATCACATGTTGCAATGACAATAGTTTTGATATAGTAGGTCTAGTACAATATTAAAATAGATTTCATCTTTTTCATTTTACCTTTTTAAAATGTATCTACTATGGAGTGCCTGGGTGGCTCAGTGGTTTTAGTGGCTGCCTTCAGCTCAGGTCATGATCCCAGGGTCCTGGGACCGAACCCCACGTCAGAGCCTGCTTCTCCTTCTCCCCACTTGTGCTCTCTAGCTCTCCTTCTCCCAAATAAATAAATAAAATCATTTAAAAAATGTATCTACTAGAAAAATTAGAATTATATGTGACTGGCATTATATTTCCATTAAAACGGGCTGTCCTAGAGAAATGTATATGTCCACTAAAAGACATATAAAAGAATGTTCATGTAAATCCATAATATCCTAAACTGGAACCAACTCACATGTGCAAGAGCAGAATAAATATATTGAGACATAATTCATACAAGGAATATGGAAACAAGAACTACATGGAAAACATGGATAAATTTCAGACATGATGTTGAGTGAAAGAAGTCAGACCAATGCCTCTCTCCCCGCCCCCAAAAAACAGTATATGCTTTCTGATTCAATGTCTGTGAAAGCAAAGGCCAAGAAAAATTAACATATATTAATAGAAGTGGGGGGCAGTGTGGTATGGGGGTTTGGGATGGAGATGACTCTGTGAGCTCTTGGGTGGGAAAAGTCATGAGGAAGATTTCTGTGGTCTGTTAAAGTTCTGTACTTTAGTTGGTACTACCTCAGTGCTTGTTCAGGTTGGCTTACATTGGTAACGGTTTTTTAGTGGTACACGTTTTGTACTTTATATTTAGTAGGCCTTGGTTTGAAAACGTTTAAAGCCACTTGGCTATGCTAAAGTGAAGTTGATACTTCTTCTGGTTTGGCGGAGGCAAGTGGGCAAAGTAAGTTGAAACTGTTTGTTGTGATGTTTTTTGCTCTCCTCAGATTTTTGGCTTTCCTCTGCTATCTGCTGTCTAATTACTTCTGTATTGCTCACAGCCATTACCTTAAGCTGACATCCAACTGTTAAAGGTGTGTCAAGCAGAGAACAAAATCGGCTCTTTTCAGAATAATTATGACTCAACAGGGGTGGTGGTGAAGTTGAGAAATCCTGATGGAGAAAGTAGTTCAGTTAGGCTTCATTAAGAGAGGCCAAGGGAAGGACCCTGGCCGGTATTACAGAAAGTTGGGTGGGCGGGGCAGGGAGTCACCACATTCACCCCACAACTATACTTTCAAGAACTTCTGGGAGCATTCACAAATAGCCAAAAATATTGACCTGATGAGTTAGGCAGCTTCACCAGAATGAACTGTCTAGACTAGCTGTTCGCGGGCTTTCAGCTCATCCGTTTACCAAGGAAAGGAAAACAAAAACAAAATATTCCCAAGCCTTCTGTGGGTTTTTTCTTTCTCCTCTTGTTTCTGTCTCTTTTCTAAATCCTGTTTTTCTCTTTGTTTAGTGACAACATTCTTATAACTGTTTGCATTTCTATAAGTCGACTTGAGTGAGATAACTCATTCAAAGTCTCTTTACTACTGATATTGAAATAAAATTTTCATATTAACCTCTGTATACACATCATAGCTAGCTTTGAAATATGTTCAGGGGTGGAGAAGCTTCTATGGAAAATGTAGCCCTTGGAACATCCGAAGACAGGTCCTTTCTAGTCTTAAATAAAGCCAATTCCCAGTTATCGTATGGTCAACACACCCGTTGTCATTTTCTCTGTGTCACTCTCCATTCTGGTCCTTTGTGTCCCACCCTCAGCTTCTGGTGGATCTGGGAGACCTGTTGTGTTTTCGCTTTGTCTAGGATGCTCTTTCACTCTCTGGGACAGACTTGGGGAATGAAAGGTATTGGTATCCAGAGTCAAAGCCCCTAAGGTGCCAGAGCTTTGCTGGGCTTGGCCTTCTGGCTCCCATGGAAGGTCAGAACCTCGCCATCACCATTTAAGTCCTACCTCAGAACTTTGTCTTTACTCCTTAATGACCACTAAAGCCATTGCTTCTGTGACTTCCATTCTTGTTCCGCAGTCTTGTCTGTGCTATAGAGAAATTAGCTTTGCAAAATTCAGTAAAAACGCTGCTCTTGGGAATCAAATGCAGTGTCCTGGGGATGGGACAAAAATTCTACCAGAGACCCACAATGGCTGACATGACTCTTTTACTCCTGCATCACCTAATCCACACAGAGATTGCATGGCTCTGTGTGACCTCCTGCAACCAGAGTCTGGAGTCATGCTCTTGTCCCAGGAACTTTCAAAAACAAGGAAACTTCTGCAGTGTACAACATTGGTTGTACAACAGTGCTTCAGCAACATCAGTCAAACCTGTGGGGAACGGCGTGAAGCCACCACCTGGGTAGAGCCCCATGACCATCCAAGGGACCGAGACCCCACCTGTGAGAGAGCAGGACTGGCTGAGGCTCCCATTTGTTCCTTTGCTTGGGGAAAGTGTGTGGATCTGATGAGGAAGCAGAGGCAGCAGGGGAGATGGCCCCTGGAGTTGAACTGACATTCAGCTGTATCTAGGCAGCTGAAGAAAGCCATTCAGAATTGTTGTTGGGGCTGCCTGGGTGGCACAGTGGGTTAAGCATCAGACTCTTGGTTTAGGCTCAGGTCGTAATCTCAGGGTCGTGAACTGTTGGGCTCTGCACTCTGCACAGAGTGGGCTTACGACTCTCCTTCCCTCTCCCTCGCCTCCCACCCCACACTTGCTCCTGTGTGTGCACTGTCTCTCTCTCTCAAATAAATCTTTAAAAAAAAAAAAAAGAATTGTTATTAAAAGTGAGGTGTCATTAATCTGTCTACTGCTACAGAGAAATAAAGCAGATGATTTTACGGTATGATGGTTATTCTCTAACCTGTGCTGCCCTATACTGTAGCCACTGGCCACATGTAGCTATTTAAACTTAATTATGAAGTAAAAAAAAAAAATTTGAAAATTCAGTTTCTCAGCACTAGCCACATTTCAAGCACTCAATTGCTGTAGGAGTCCAGTGGCCTCCGCATTTGAAACTGCACATCTGGCTCATTCATCTGGCACGTCAGTTACACATAAGATTGTTTATTTCAAGGTCCTGACTTCTCCTTTAGCATTAGATTCATTTTAGTGCATCTAGGACATCCCTAGGACCAGCAGCTCCTGTGTCTGTATGATCTCTCCGCTTTCCCTGAGCTATAATGGAGAGGAGGACTTTCCTGTTTTCCCTGGGCTGGTAGAGAGGAACCATTCCATGCCCTGGCTACTGCAGGGCAGTGGTAAACCAGGCATGACCAGGGTCTTGCATTGATCAGTCCAGCCCCAGCGTTGCTCTAGGTTACTCTAAAGGCTGCTCCTGCCCATACCTCAAGGGAATGCTTGTGGAGGCTCCTGGGCTCGCTTATTACTTCTGTTACGAACTATAACAACACGATTTTTTCCTTTTATGTGATTTTAGACTTACATCCTGTTTGTGGCAGTTCCTACTGGTATTTCAGTTGTGATGCTGATATACAGTTAACTTTAAAAATAAATTGACTATGTAAAAGATGTAAATCAAAGTATGGAAAATATTAGCTAATCGATGATAAAGGTACATGGATGTGGCCAAATGTGGAAGTGCTGTGTTCACTAATGAACTTTGAAAAGGATGATTCTGTCTCATTTTTATGGGCTAGCCTCCCTTTCCCTTGTCACTCCAGGAGCACTCCCTTTTGCCCTAAGTCAGGTAGGCAAGAATGCTCAGCGGTCTCTCTGCACTTTGAACACAAAAGGCACAGTGAACCTTTTTTTTTTTTTTTTTTTTTTTTGCGAACCTCTCTAGGGAACTTCCTTGTTCGGACCATTAAGAAGAATCAAGATTTTGGGGTACCTGGGTGGCTCAGTCATTAAGCATCTGCCTTTGGCTTAGGTCATGATCCCAGGGTCCTGGGATCGAGCCC